CTTTAGTTGTTGGCTGATAGCTACTTTTTTTCTCTACTTCTAAGTTTGATTTCGACTTGCTGTTATTGCCTCTTTTTATAGTGGGGATCAGATTGGTTATTATGTATTATTCTAGTTTCCTGTACATTGGTGCTTTCTACCTCTTACACTTGTTATTATTTGTCCTTGATGTCGAGTTATGTATTTTCCTGATCTTGCCTCACTGTTTTGGCTGCATGTTTTTTTTTTATTGTTTTCTTGATTTTTTTGTTTATGTACCTTGTTCTTTTTTTTAAGTGAAAAGTAGAAAAATAGTATTAGTATGAGCAGCAGAGGTGCAAAAGAGCGAGCATGTACAATTATTTACAGCTTAGTCATCCATACCACTAATCTTCCTAAATGACTCAAAATAAACCGGAGGATGACCCGTAAGTAAAAAATTTAGGGTACTAAGCCATCTACTCTTCAGTATATCAAAATCATTAGTGTCATCAAGACCCTTAAAGGCCTTACAGTTCCTAACTTTGCACACGGTCCACATCAGCGAAATGGGAATCAAATCAGCAAGGATACACCTGTTACAGTGTTGCTTCCAAGCCCAAATCTCTTCTTTGATAGAACCCGAACAAACCCAGCTAATACCCAATCGGTTGTAGACCATATACCACAGATGATAAACAACAGGGTAATGTAAAAGAAGGTGCCTGCAATTTTCCTCAGCTTTTTTGCAGAGATAAAAAACATTTACCAAAATTAACCCCCTCCTTCTAAGCTTATCTATGGTCAAAATACATTCTTTGCTACCTTCCCATGCAAAGAATGAAACCCTTGGAGACTCCTTAATTTTCCAGATCAGTTTGTAAGAAAATGGCAGTGTAACGACTCCAATGTGATGTGGAATATCCTCTCCTTACCTTAGGATCTTGTACCAAGATTTGATAGAGAAAGAACCTTTTTTGTGATCTTCCATTCAGGTTTATCCTCAATATCATTCAGCTTGATCTCTGATAGTAACTCCAGCAGCTTTTCATACTCAGGAATTTTCCAATCATTCAGATTACTATTGACCACCACCTGCCAAGAACCCTCCCCAGTCTGACTGTTAATAAAGCAAGCACTCACCCAGACAACTTTATTTTAAGAAATGGCAAAAATTGCAGGAAATCTGTCCTTGAAGAGGCCTCCCTCCAGCCATTCGTCTTCCCAGAATTTGATCTTATCCCCACAACCCACCTTCCATCTGATTTGCCTGAGGAATTTTTCTTTACCATCTAATGTGCTTTTCCATAGACCCTTTCTGTGATTTCTCACCACCACAGTAGTTAACCAATTAGAACCATCAATGCCATATTTTGAAGCAATAACTCTTCTCCACAAAGCATTTTTCTCGTTGATAAAGTGCCATAGCCATTTTCCTTGCAAAACAATATTCATTTCCACAAAAAATCTAATCCATTTTGTAAGGGTTTTTTCAGCTCATTCAAAGTCACTAGATGAAATTTTTTGCCATCCTCCTTATCCCCCCACAAAAAGTTGCTTTGTAAAGGTTCCAACCTTTTAGCCACATTACAAGGGATAGACAATAAGTATAGGTAGTACACAAGCAGATTGCTAAAGGGTGCTATTGACAAGTGTAAGATGGTCACCTTTAAATAGTAAATTTCTTTTCCAAGCGG